TGATAAAAAGATTTATTCCAGGATCCTAGATAAAAAACATAAACAACAGTTAGATTGCTTAGAGCATCTTGATACCTGTAATGACTATTGAATAAAACTCAAACAAAACTCAGTTTCATCAAATTATTAAAATTATTAAACTATTAAATTATTATTTTCTGCTAATCTTTAAAATTTTATTTTTTTAATTGACCAAAATAGATTTGATGTATAGGAACCATTTATAAAAAAATTATAGTTAAAAATTAAATTAAAAAATGCAAACCTGACAGGTCCATTGACATTAGATACACTGTAAAACTGGCATTCCAACACTTCAGTGTAGTTAACAAAGTATTTCAACACTCTAAAAATTGGTGCTGGAGGTGCTAAAATTAAATAATTTTTATTAAAATCGTTGCTACCATTCAAATCAAAAAACAAAAAATAATTAAAAAAAAAATTTAACAATGCATAAAGAAAAACATATTAAAAAAAAACATACAAATTGGTTTGGAATAATACTGTATACTTTCTCTCACAAAATAATCTTCATTATACACAGCATCTACAGATATGTTAAAGATGGCTGCATGAAAGTCAACATTGATGGTAATGTTTGTATTAACTGTGTCATAAGTTTGGAAAAAAAAGAAAGAATCATTGTATGGCTTGAATGATTGTAAACTTATCTAAATTGAATAAATAAATGAAAATACAAAAAAAAAAAAAAAAAAAAAAAAACAATACCATTTTAACTGCAAAAATTAACTTATAAATAAAAAATTATTATAATTCAAATATTTACAAATAAAAATATAATACCTTATATTTTAGAATTAAAACTGGAGAATTTGGTTTCTTCCACCTCAACATCAACGTTTTGTTTTCTTCAATTATATTTAATTGAATAGGAGCACCCAAAGCTATATTAAAAAAAAAAATGACACAAAAAAATAAATTTTAACTTATATTTTAACTATAAATATTTTTTCGTTAATGTTAACAAACATAAATAATATAATCTAAACTTGAATTTATTTTAATAATATTTGATTATGTTAACAAAAATAATTTTCTTTAATAGTTAATCAATTTTAAAATATCTAATATAAAAAGATATTGACTTAAAGGTTCAATCAACAAAGTTTGATGTGTTGAGCTTAACACATTTTTTTTAAACTATGTATTGAAATTTTGGAGCAGTGGCAGGTTTAGCCTTTTTTTTGGGGGGAGGAAGAGTGGAATGAGCAGTGGGCCACAAGGGTTGGGGGTGGTACATTAACCCAAAGAAACATTTTTTTTTGAGAATTAAACTTGTGATAAATATATTTTATTGATGCTTTTAGATGCCTTTTCTCATAACTATTAAGTACATCTAAGACACTATATCATTTTAACAACCTAAAGTTTAAGTTTGCTAAGTTTACTTTGGTTAACAATTATTGTTAAAAAAAAAACATTTAATACTATTGCAATGGTTTAATTATTTAAAAATGTATTTACACTACACATATTATTGAACGCAAGCATTAAGAAGAAAATTTACTTTCCTGCTAATTGATATAATTTTTTTTGCGAGATTTCATTTCCAGCAGGAACAGAATGTTTGTTGGATGTCTAAAGAACATCATACAGACTTGCGATGTTTGTAAAGCGTTATAGAGACGTCTTACAGACGCCTGTTCCTGCTCGGTTGAATCAAAATGATTTATTGATAATTCAAAATCAATGTTCTCAGCAAGCTTTTTTTTTTTTCAATAACTCAGAGTCTTTAAATTATACGTCGCAATCTACAGATTTTGGCAATTTCTTTGAAGCACGTTTAATTCATAAAAGTTTTAGCATTTGACATCACGGTAGAATTTTAACAAATGAAAAGTGTAATTAAACAAAGCCGCGTTTTTCTACTTTAATTCAAAAAGTACGATGTAATATTTGTTTAACATACAGCAAAACAACTTTTACAACAAATTTTTGTAAAAAATAAAAAATAACAAAAGATTTTTATTTCATAGGAGCAACTTTTTTTTTTACCAATATCTTAATAATTTTTAGATTTATATATCTTACTTATAATTCTATTGTTTTTAAATTAAAACAAATATTAAAGCTTTACTTACGAACCTTATGATTTTTATATGAGTGTTTTACATTATATAGAACGTTATGTATACGGTCTCTCGTTTTTACACTATGATATTTTTTGTTTTACCGTCAAAAAAAAGTATTAACAATTACTTTCATTAACTGACAGTATTAATTAGAGATATTTAATTAACTGTTAAAATTTTTTATTATAAAAAATTTTTGATTACGCTGATTTAATTTAAATTGCTAAATTTGCTAAATTGGATATGAATTAAAAGAAAGTATCATTAAAATTTGCATTTGATTTTTGATAACGTAACTTTCAAAATGTCAGCAAATCCATACCAATTAGAACCTGTAAAGGTTATGAAAAAAATTACAAGAATACACTAAACAGTACAGTTGACAGTAATATCAGAAATGAAAATTCGTTAAAAGATATGTGAGACTCTGGTTTTGCATTACAACTTGTATTACAATATTAAATATAATGTTTTTTAACGGGCGTTACAGCATTTTGACAATTTAAACTACCATCTACCTTGAAATAATTAATGTGTTAATTATAGCGCTAATTAATACTAGTTTGTCTGTATTTTTAGTAAATGTTATTGTATTATACATATATTTTTCCCCGTTTATTACAATAACATTTACCAAAAATACAGACAAACTATTATTATTTAACGTTATAATTAACACATTAATTAATGGCAATTCAAGGTAGATGGTAGTTTAAATTGTCAAAATGTCGTAACGAGCATTAAAAAACATACTATATTTAATATTTCCCAATTTATGTGTCATATTTGAGATTTGTCTCTTAACATGGAAAATTAAAAAACTAACAAAATTGACAAATACAAGTTTTCATGCAATTTTCTCTTCCAACTCACATTTATTCAAAGAAAAGTTTGAATTAAACTTTTATTTCTCTTATTTAAAAAAAGAACAAGAAAAAAATATTTCAAACAATTCTTATTCATTTAAATTTAAATTATGTGAAAATTTTCTTTCTCTTTTGTTCTACTGTTTTTTATAAAAAGAACTCACGTTGAAATAAAAACTTTTCTTTCTTAACATAGAATTTTTTTTTTTTAATTTTTTTTTTTAATTCACCTCCTCAAAGCCGAGAAGGCCACTACAGACGAGGAGGCTACTTATTTGTGGCTATAACCCTCTCTCAACTCTATAACTCTGAAACACAAACCTTGACGAACAAGGCCGCTGCGCAGAGAAACGAGTTGAGCGCCGGTACTACCAGGGACGTGGGATTTAACTTTATTTAATTTAACTAATAAAACTTAAAGATAAAATTAAATTAGAAATAAATCAAAAGTGAGCAAAGGAACTAACAGTCTAATCTGGGAATATTTTGATATTAATGAAAATAATCAACATAAACAACATAAACAACACCAATAATCAAATAAATGTTAAGTTGGGGTTTGTCATAATGGAGGAATAAAGGAGGAATAAAAACTAACTCAATATATAGTCTAAATATATATATTAATAATATGAAGCAGCCATATTGCCACGCGTGCTTTTATATAACTCTACTTAACTACTTAATGATCCGTAAATTAATAACAAATACAATGACTGTGTAGATGACATCACTGTAACACCCCCACATGATGTCAAAATCTAAATTTACGAAAAAAGTCAAGTTCCAAATATAATGTCTCTAAATACTTTCTTAGAGTCTTTTTTAAATGGTTTCGTAAAAATATCTGCTAAGTTTTTGTTTAAAGGTACATATTTCAAGGTTATCTTTCCATTATGAATATACTCTCTTATAAAATAGTATTGTATATCGATGTGTTTTAAACGTGAATGTTTTACTGGATTCTTTGATAAAGCAATTGAACCTTGGTTATTACTTTTGATTTGCACTGATTCAGTGATATCCACAAATAAATCTTTTCAGAAATTGGTTAAGGTATACTACCTTTTGACATGTGGCAGATATTGCCATATACTCAGCTTTGCATGTTGACAGAGCAACAGAAGCTTGTTCTTGGATTTCCATGCTATGGTCCATTCTGGTAAAGACTAAAACAATAACCAGTAATGCTTTTTCAATCATTGCAGGATGCTCCCCAATCTGCATCACAAAATGTATTCAAACTGAATTCACCATTAGCTTGTTCATAGCCAAGTGGTTGCGATACATAAATTTCACATTCTATTAGAGCATGTAAGTATGCACTTTTTGCATCCATTTGGTGTACGATTAGATTTTCATGTACAGATATATTCATAATTATCCTTAACGATTCAATTCTAGTTGTGAGTGAAAATGTTTCAGAGTAATCAACTCCTACAATTTGAGTAAAACCTTTTGCTACATATCGAGCTTTATGTATTGGATTATCAGGTTCACCTTTCACTGAGTAAAACCATCTACCTCCTATTAAGTTTTTACCGTTTGGTAGGGTAGTAAGAGTGTACGTATAGTTTTCATTTAATGATTTTATTTTTTTATCCATCGCTTTCCTCCACTCTCAGGCTTCTTTACTTTGAATGCCATGTAAGAAGTGGGTACTTTTACACAATAGCAGTAGTTAATATATTTAATGTAATCATTGCTTTCAGAATTGTCAATAATGTAATCATTTAAATTTTTAGATGGTCTTCTAGTTCTTTCTGGGTTCCTATGGCTTTTAGTAGATTGTTATTGCTTTTGATTTGCACTGGTTCAGTGATATCCACAAATAAATCTTTAAGAAATTGGGTAAGGTATGCTACCTATTGACATGTGGCAGATATTGCCATATAATCATCTTTGCATGTTGACAGAGCAACAGAAGCTTGTTCTTGGATTTCCATTCTATGATTGGTCCATTCTGGTAAAGAATAAAACAATAACCAGTAAAACTTTTTCAATCATTGCAGGATGCTCCCCAATCTGCATCACAAAATGCATTCAAACTGATACTTTGTTGGGTTTTTCTAAAAATTGAGGAATAGTCCAGAGTACCTTTTATATATTGAAAAACATGTTTTAGCATTGTTTAATCTCTGTTACTTGGTTTCGACAAATTTTTTGATAATTTTGTGACAGCAAAACTAAGGTCAGGGCGAGTACATATCATTTCATAAACTAAACTTCCTAGAGTTGCAAAAAAACGCGTTTTTTTCCTTTGGCGTTTTTTTGGGTCAAAAAACGTGTTTTTTTGGTTTTTTTGGTGTTGTATTGCTTTTTTTAAACAATTTTTCAGTTTTTTTTTACATAAATTTTGGACTAGTTTTCCTTTAATCTAGTATAGATTTTAGTATTTGGCCATTAAAGGCATAATTAGATGTATAAACACCAGTTTAACAAAAAAATTTTATAAAAAATTTAAATTAGCTTTAAGTTAGTTATATATTTAGGTATACTGTATGAAAATGTTTATTTTCTGTTTTGTTGTACTAACAACTGTGATACTCTCATTATATATAAAAACTATTCTTATTCTATAAAAAAGTTACCATTTTAGTCTTGATAATGTAAATACATTAATGTATTTACATTATCAAATTTGATATCAGACTTCGAATGCTCAAAAAAATAAGCTATCTATCAAGATTATTAACTTAATTAAGCATTTGTATATTATGTAGTAATTAAGTCTTACATTGTTTGTTTGTTATATCAAAAAAAGAATTATTGCTAGTATGCATATTAAAAAAAAGCTCTATACTGAACTTAGTTTCAAGGAAAATTTAAAAACTTTTTAATTATTATTATTTACAGAGTTTCCCAGACCCCATTCACCTGATGATTCGTAATTTATTTATTTGTAATTAATTTTTTAACAGCATTTTTTTTTTCTAATTACATTTGTTCATCTAAATATTTTCATATAGCACTATATCAGAACACTTGCAAAATTCTTTAATATGCTCTGTTTTTTAAGTTCAATTTTTAGACATAATCTTAAGGCAAAAGAATTGTTTATCTTTTTCCATTTTACTAATTTGGTTCAGAGGTTTAATGGGTGACTAAGGCTTTATTTCTGCCCCCTGTATGGAGAGCCTAATCATAATTCTTTTTGTTCTTCCTGTTGATTACCAACAAGAAAAAAAAATTTACTTAATAATTTAAAGATCTCTTTATATATATATATATATATATATATATATATATATATATATATATATATATATATATATATATATATATATATATATATATATATATATATATATATATATATATATAATGTATGTATGTATATATAGATATTATGGTGCTTTAAAAATCACTACTCAGTGTTAAAGTATTTTTTGTATTAATCTATTTTTTGTCAGTATTTTTTGTGTTAATCTATTTTTAGATTCTAATTCAGAAAAGATTTATATAAAATTTCTCTTTATTTGAGTAATAAGTTGACTTTTTTAATGTAAACATTTTAGAGACCATTTAAACAATATTAGGGACCTGTTGAATAGAAATTGAGCTTAAGTATGAACTAAATATTAAACAATTAAACTTAAATTAGACTTGAAATTTCAAATTGTGTATCTGGGATTATTAAATCATTTCTTTCTAACTGCTTTATTATAATCATCGTCAAATGCCTACTTATTTATTTCTAGTAACTTCTGGGGTTAATCTCAAAGTTCTATTCTTGGTCCTGTTTTGTTTCTTATCTACATTATTGATCTTCCTGACAACCCTACATCTATAGTAGCTCTTTTTGCTGATGACTCAAGTTTTTGCTCCTGTCTTGACAAAAAGTCTTCTCTTTTTGATCACTTAGAATAGGCAGCCAATTTTGTATCTGATCTTACTTCTGTAACAGATTGGGGCTCACATATTTTAGCTTATAAATTTTATTTCTAACTAAACTCAGTTATTTACTGCAAACAACTACCACAATACTGTTGACATTCCTATTTTAATTAATGGTAACCCTCTTGCTGAGTCTTCTTTTTTACATTTTCTTGGAATATTATTTGCTACTAACCTTTCATGTACACAAAATATACAATTGATTGCTAAATTAGCATCCCTTTATCATTATCGTCGTTTTCTTACCCTTGATTCCATTCTCTACCTCTACAAATATCTTTTTGTCCCTGTATGGAATGTTGTTGTCATATTTGGGCTGGTTCTTCTTATGATGCCCTTTTTCTTCTAAACAAGCTCTATCTGCTAAGCTTGAGCCTCTTTCCCATTGTCGTAAAGTTGCATCTCTTTCTCTTTTCTACAAATTCTATCATGGCGGCTGCTCAAAATAGTTATTACCTCTAGTTCCATTAACAAAAACTCATTCTCAACTCTTTATTATGCTAAGTCTCATTCATTAGTTGTTCAATTTTATTAAATATAATAAATGTAAATAAATGTTTATTGTGTCAATATACACTAAAAACAGTAAAGATAAAGTTAAGGAAGATAAAATTATCAAAGAAGTTTTTATACAAGACACCTTTAACCGTGTTAATATACCAAAACAAAAATTAATTCAGTAAATTTCAGTATTTATTGTCCTATTTAAATCAGAAATTAAAATATTGCCATTAAAGTTAAATTTAGTAACTTAAACAATGAATTTTTGATTATTTCCCAAAAAAAACAAAAAAACCGACCCCTATGTTTTTTTTCCAAAAAAACGACCAAAAAAACCAAAAAAATAAGAACCAAAAAAACGCGTCACATCTCTAAAACTTCCTACCATTTCACAATAAAGTTTGTCTGAATTTATTTCGTTTTGCTGTTCTTCATCGTATGATTTTAGGCTCGTTTCACATTCTAGGTGTTAACTTGATATTAGTATTTCATCACTATTTTTAATTATCAGTGAAAACTTATTTTCAAAATATATATGATTGATTGATTGTAATCGCTCATCAATTTTAACACTAACCAAACTCAGTTATTTACTGTAATCATTTATTGCAATATTGTTGGCATTCCTATATTAATGAATGGCAACCCTCTCATTGAGTCCTTTATCTTATGTCTTCTTGGAATATCATTCAATACTGACCTTTCATTGTATAAATTTCAAAAATTTATACAAAGTTAGCATGTTTCCTTACTCTTTAATAATATTCTTTGTTTTCTAATAACTCCAAACATAATAGTGGTTACAGCCATGTTAGGAGTGAATTAATAGTTAAAAAAAAATTAATGGTTGTCTACAGTCTTGTTGAAAATTTTTTAAAAAAATAAAAATTATAAATTTAAAATCAAATTAAAAAAGAAACATGTTGGTGTTTTAGGGCTTTTTGGTTTAAGATTTGGTAGGTTCAGCTGGTTTTTTGCTGGTAACATGAGGCTACTGAAAATTTGCACAAAAAAGAATTGCTTATAATTGTCATTCAAATTATATTATTGTTTCACAACTGATCAAATAAGTAAGAATAGCAATAATAGATCATTTTATTACTGAAAGTGTCACATGACCAACAGTGTAGAGAATTTTAGTCATAAGCGAGCAAAGAAGGTTTTCAAAGTATTCTGGACTGAAATCCTGTAACTTAAGTTGAATTCTCTTTTTCAGGTGGTTAAGATTTTTCGCTTTGAAATCATTGGACTCCTTGTTTTATGTGAGCCCAAAATGTCTCAATGGGACTTAACTGCAGTACATTTGGTGGAATATCATCCTTAAAAACATAGGTTATACTAAACCTCTTACAAGTTACAATTGTTAGCTTTGCATAACGACAGCTTGGACCATCAGGCCAAAATATATATTTTATATTTTTGTGACGCGAATTGATGAAGGGAACAAATTTCTTTTCAATGCATTCTTTGAAATATATTTTTGCATCAATGGCATTATTCTTAATAGCAAAGAAAGCCTTTGATTTACCAAATCAACTACTTGCAATGCATACTAAAACTTTCGCTTAAAACTTTGATTTAAACTTATATTTAAATTATTTTCAGTTTTGTCTTTATCTTGACTATAAAAGGCATTATTTCCTGGTGTGTTTTGGCTGCAATGTAAAATAGAACTCGTCATCCATGACAATTTCAAACTCTTTTGAGGGTTGGAAAAAAGTTTTTGAAAGTTTTAACAGTCGTTATTTTTGTTCAATTATTTGAATTTCAGAGCTTTCTGGTGCTTTCTTTATTTTAAATATTTAAGTCCATGCATGTTAAAAATTTTATAAACATAACTTTTATGAATTCCATATTTTAATGCAAGTTTTCTCTGGGAGATTCCAACTTTATTTTCAGCCCTGTTAATGAGTGAAGTAATTTTTATTATGTCCATTTTGTATGGTTTTCTGCCGCTTCCCGAATTTCTTTTAAGGTCAATATTGTCGTCAACTCTTTTAATAATATTATAAATTGTTCGCCTTGCAACTTTCATTTGATGTTCGCCTCAAACTTTCAAAATGATGCACTGTAAATGTTTTCTTTTTGTCTATGTTATCTAAATAGAAGTTTCCAATAAGCTTTTATTTTCCGTTTTCTTTAATTTCCATCTATTTTATTTGTATCAGATTATGAAATAAAAATGTCTAGTGAATATATTTAATTTCGAACTGCAGAAATATTCAAATTTGTTTGCTAGTTTCAAACGTTGAAATTTTGCGCAAATTTTTAGAAGCCTTGTGTTATCTTTAAATTTTAATTTTATCTTGAAAGTTTTAACAAACTTATTTATAATTTAAGCAGACCTAAATAAACAATAAATTCTTAATTACTCTTATTATTAATTTTCTTCTTCTTCTTCTTGATGAAGAAGAAGAATGACATTCAAGTCTTAAGTTAAAATGACTTTGTTATCACAACTTATTTCATTTTGACTTCAAAACAATACCACTTACACTTGGTGCAACCTCTAATGTCAACACGCATACAACAAGACTTTATACAATCTTTGGGTTCAACTTTTATATACTTTGCAAGGTACAAACTTGGAAACCAGTTTATAGTGTAGGGAAATATGCGACCTTTACTTCCAATATAATCATTCTAAAAATTTAAATATTAACTAAAAAGTAGAAAAACTGTTATGACTGTACATCTACTTAATACGAAAAACATTTTAAATGAAATCACTAAATGAAATTCATATCAGTATAAAGTTTATTTCAAAAGCAATAAAACTTACAACAAATCTGTTTAATAACAAAACAGCAGGTTTTATCATTTAAATATTTTTATAGTGCATTAAACTGAATAATGTTCAGAACTAGAGCTTCGGTTAAAATTAAAAAAAAATGAACAGTAAAAAAAGAAAAAAAAAAGCAACCAGAGTTAATATAATAAAAAATTTCAATTTTAAAGTTTTGTAAAAAAAAACAACAACAACTTTTGTCTTTAACTGCTTAAACCTTTTTTTGAGGTTCTAAACATTGGTACTTACTACTGTATATTGTACATTGGTACTTACTATATGTGTATATATACATGTATATATGTATATATATATATATATATGCATATATGTATATATATATATATCAGGAGACGCATGCTGTCACTTGCTTTATGACCATATGACCATGCATATTTTTTTTTTTTTTTTTTTTTTATATTTTAATTCACCTCCTCAAGGCCGAGACGGCCACTACAGACGAGGAGGCTACTTATTTTGTGGCTATAACCCTCTCTCAACTCTATAACTCCGAAACACAAACCTTGACGAACAAGGCCGCTGCGCGGAGAAACGAGCATATAATATTTTGTTTTGACAACTTGACCACAGCTCCTTGCATGTTTTAAGTATGTTTTTAGTGCATTTAAAAAATGTGCTGAATAAACAAATGAACACTTAAACTAAAATTAAAAATAAACGAACTTTAAACTGGAAAGAGGAAAAAAAAAAAACTAAAAAAAAATTAAACTAAAAAAAAATAAAAAATAAAAAAATAAAAAATTTTATGAGTAATAAAATGAATAAAAAATAAACCAGTAAAAACAAAAGCATAAATTTAATGTATGTTTTTATTTTAATTTATAAGTGTTACAATCCAAACAATTCCAAAAAAAAACAAACAAAGTTATTTAATCCAAGCTTAATTATTTGTAAACTTTATTATTTAAAAATTTAAAACTTTTATTGCATGTCATTATATGGTCATTATATGACCAGGCAAATCACATCTTTGACAATTTGACTACAGCTATTTCAAAAAACAATTTAAAAATGCTATGAATGAAAATTATTTTGAATTATATCTTAAGTGAAATAAATTACATCAAAACATTTTAACAAACTTTTTTTTTATTAACAAACATTTTTAATTAAAGTAACAATTTACTGAAAATGATTTGTTTTTTAAAGTATAATTGACAGTTTTTTAAATCTGGAGTTTGTTTTCCTTTAATTTCTTTTTAATTTTGCTTTTGGCAAAGTTGTTTTTAATTTTTTTTGACACTTTTCATAACTTTTCTATGAGTGATGAGCAAAAAAGTTTGAAAAACAATTATATTACAAAAATATATACCTCAACTTACATGTATTAAAAATGTTTTGGATATTTGGAAAAAGCTAAAAGTTAAAAAAAAATATCAGGAATTCCGGAAATATCCGAAAAAAAATTATCCCTGTATATTATAAAAATGTTTCTTAATAAAGTAACAAAACACTTCTAATGAATTTTTATACTATAATAATAAAATGTTGTTTTCTTTATTTATTTATAATTATTTATATTTTATGATAAATATTATTCTTTTGAAAAAAATAAAACAAAAAAACAAAGTAGAAATGTTAAAACAAGGATGAAATGGTTTTTTAATGTGTAATTACTTGTTAACGTTTACATGGAAAATGATATTTTTAAATTGTAAAAAGAAACACTAAATTTAAATCAAGTGTGAGTACTTTTTAGACAATCATTAAAAGTAAATTTTTCTTAGTTTATTAATGTTTATTAATGTTTATTAATCTTATAAACATTAATAAAGAAAAAAATATATATACACATATATATATATGTGTATATATATTATATATATATATATATATATATATATATACACGCATATATATACACACATATATATATATGTATATATATATATATACGCATATATATACACACATATATATTGTGTTTTTGCTTTAGTTAAGTATTTTTTTCTTTACTCTTTTGTTAAGTTTTTTTTAGATAAGTCTAAGTAATTTTTTTTGTGCATTTTTTAATTTTGAAAACATGTCTAAAGCTGTGGTCAAAACCTCAAAACAAAGTATTTTTGGATATTATTTCACAGGAAGACAAAGGACGTCTTCCTGTGAAATACTGCTACATTACAAAAATTACTGCTACATTACAAAAAGAGCCCCTAAATTTGCAAATTGGGGGTGTGGGAGAGCCTAGCAACAGATCTGTATACACCATTAGTTTTTTCACAAAGCTTCTTTTTATAAAAAAAAATAAGCACTCCTTTTTTACAACAATAAAATCTTAACAAACATTAAAAAAAAATTTTTTTAAACCCTTTTAATGTGTTGTAATTATTAAAAATATTGATATTTTGTAATTAGATTAAATTTTAAATCACGTTAAGGCGATTTTTCACTTACAGAAAATTTTCCGTGGAACGGAAAGGAAAAGAAAATTATCCAATCATGTAACATAAAAATAGCGTATCTAAATTTTTTTTGTTACATGATTAGATTTTGATACATGATTTTCTTTTCCTTTCCACTGCTTTTAAAAATCATTTAAACTAGTGTAACAAAAGCTATTGAGTTAAGTCATTATCTAAATTCGGTATTTAAAAAATATATATATATCCTTATAATTTATTTTCTAAAACAATCAAACTATTAACAAAAACTTTAATTTGTTATCACAACTTATTTATTTTATTTTATTTTTACGTATTTAATATAATAATTTTAATAAAGAATAAAAACAATTTATAGATTTTATCAGTTACAAATAAGATATATGTAATTTATGTTCATAAATGTATTACGCATTTACACAATATAGAATTAATAAGAAACAAAATTTTAAATACATTTGTGAAAAGAAATCTGTTTTGAAATCTTAAGTGAAAACACTTTTCCCTTTTTAATATTTTACATTCTTTTGAAACTATTTTACATTCTTTTAAACTAAATTTTACATTCAACATTTTACTACTTTCTATTCCTTTAAAACTAAATTTAAATTTTTTAAATCATATCAAATTTTGCCCCACCAACTTATAAAATATAAAAGTTTTGCAAGTCTAGAGTTTCGTTACTTTGGTTGTCGTGACTTAAAAATATTCTTCTTATGTTTTTTCAAATTCTTATATCAATAAATTTTAGGATTTATAAAAAACAGTTTTAACTATGATTAGCTTCTCTGCAGCTAGCATTTGTTTCTCAAGTGTCCCTATATGCCCAGCTCTACCTTATATGGCAAAAAAAAAACAAAAAACTAATCTAAATTATATTTTCCATTATTTAATATGATTTATAATTAATTATTTAATATGATAATAATTACTTAATATGCCATCTCATTTTTAGTATATTGATTCCCTTCTCATTTTAAGCATTTTGATCCCCATTTGGCCAGTTTTGACTGAAAAAATTGAAGGACACCTATTATTTTTCCGCTGTTCTGAAGTGAAGGTTTTTCAATTCAAAAAAATCTGCAAGGAACTGAAAAGATAGGAAACAATTGGAACAATTTCTTGAGATTATGGAGGATGTAGTAAAATAAACCCAAGTTCAAGAATTTTTTCTTGAGTCAACTTATTTGTACCTAGTCTTGCATAATCATGCAGCAGAATGGCATTCTTACAGTAGATGAATGCAGGGCATTTTTCCATTAGATTTTCTTAGACTCTTTGGAACTGGTGAACATATGCTCTCCAGTCATTATTTCTTTCCTATTTGAATGGTTATGGTGAATTATCACTTGGCAATTCCGCCAAACACACAACAAAATTTTCTTGCAATGAAGTTGTGCTTTAGGATGCAGAGGAGGTTGTTATAGGCGATGTTCTCATATGTTATCCATTTTTCATCACCAGTATTAATCTTCTTCAAAAACAGTTTATTATTTTCATGTGAGAGCAGACTTGTGCTAATTGACATCCTAGCTGTCTTGTTATCTTCAGTCAAATTATGGATTACCCATATTCCCTATTTGATGACTTTCCTCAATTTTTCAAGTGGCAGCAAACAGTAGATTAAGATCCATTGAGCTTAATCTACTGTTTGCTTACATGGATTTTTTTCCAAAACTGACTACAAAATATTGTCATTAAAGTCAGAAGGATGACCCATCCATGCCTTGTTTTTTAAACCATGTCTCCACAACAGAATTTAACAATCCAGTTTCTTACTGCCCAATCAGTTATCACTCCTTGACCATACACACTGCACAGTTTTTGAGCCATAGATGTTTCACTATTGGTTTGTTTAAATTCCTAAAGCATCACATGTGGAAAGTGTATTTTTTGATTATTCATAATAAAGCTAAAAAAAAATTGTGGTGTTTACGGAAACTGTGGATTAAATAAGCTAATTGTTTTATAATGTCATTATTAGTATTATTCAAAATTTAAACAATTCTGATTTCAAAACAATTAGCTTTAATTGAAATGTTATCAAATCAAGATGAGTAGCAAAAAAAGTTTTTGCATTTTCTGGTTGAAAATCCTGGTGTATCAAACAAAACAATTTCTAAAAAATTTCAGACTGCTTTGAGAAAAGTGCAGAGTATTGTAAAAATATTTAAGAACACTGGTATTATCAAAGGGAAACCAGGAAGTGTAAGAAAAAAAGTTTTTCAATCAACAAGATTTTGTTAAAAAATTGAAAGATACATTAAACAGAAATCCAGAGATTTTTGTTCAAACTAAAGCAAATAGATTAAAGATAATTGCTTCCACTATACAAAGAGTGAGGGTTATGAATCTTATAAAAAGAAAAAAGTAGTGTTTTGTAAAGAAAAACGTAAACGAAGTTAAAAACAAGACTTCAGAAATGGATTAGAGCAACCAAAAAAATTCAGCCA